TTTTTTTTTTTTTTTTTTTTTTTTTATTTGCCTGTCTGATGCCCTTGTTTACCCCATGCCATCACCCAAGGCGGTGGAAGAGCATTAAATCTTCCCCTGTACCTGACACTGGTGAGGCCACACCTCAACTCCTGCGTCCGGTGTGGGGCCCTTCAATTTAGGAAGGACATTGAGGGGCTGGAGCGAGTCCAGAGAAGGGCAACAGAGTTGAGGAAAGATCTGGAGCAAAAGTCTGATGAGGAACAGCTGAGGAAGCTGCAGGTGTTTAGCCTGGAGAAGAGACTCAGGGGGGACCTTATCACTTTCTACAGCTCCCTGAATGGAGGTTGTAGCCAGGTGGGGCTCAGGTTCTTCTCCCCAGTAACAAGGATGAGAGGACATGGTCTTAATCTATGCCAGGGGAGGTTTAAGTTGAACATAAGGAGGAAATTTCTTCACAGAAAAGGTGATTAGACACAGGGATGGGCTGCCCAGTGAGGTGGTGGAGTCACTGTCCCTGGAGGTGTTTAAGGAAAAACTGGGCATGGCTCTTAGTGCCATGGCGTAATTGAGGAGGTGATGTTTCATTACATGTTGGACTTAATGATCTCAGAGGTCTTTTCCAACCTGATTGATTCTGTGATTCTGAGTCAGCTCCATTTCAAGGGAAATATTATTTTTCAGATTTTCAATTAACTATGAGTTTTTGTAATATTTTCAGTTCATTTGTAGAACTCGTAGCATTTATACATATAAGAGAATTTACATGACGAAAATAAATCCTTAAAAATACTTAATTGTATAATTATAGGCATAGGAAATGAAAATAAACATGTAGTGTGGAAAATGTCTTTGAGGCATTTAACTGTGGTTAAATGTTTATTTCTGTCTATTAAGATGGATGGTCAATTTAAGTTTATATGAAAATAGAAAAATGTAAAATCATTACTGTTCAACGTGATTCTTGTGAGATTAAAATTATTATTAGCAAACTGATTATAAACTGATTATAAACCACAGTGGCTCCACTGCTTATCTTTCTAAACTAAAAAACATAACCTTGGAAATCTATTCACGATCTCAAATCTTGATTTATATATATATTTACTGCAACTCACAGCATCAAGTGCCTGAAGCTGGCAGAATGCCTCAAAAATACAGCAGTTTAAGCAAATCCTATTCTTCACCTCCAGCCATCTCTGCCTCTCATGATCAATTTTTTTTCTGAACAAGCTTCTAAAGCAACCTGGAAACTAACTTTTTTCAATTTCAATAGCAGAGATTTCCATAAGCCACTATAAGCAGTATAAGAACAAGTAAATTCTTATTCCTTAAAACCTCCTCAAACACACCAACCTGTCTTTTGGCATCTTGCAGGTGCCCTTTCAGGTATGAAACAGCCAAATTACACTGAGCTTTTTTGGTTAGAGGTAGTACATGAAATTTTACCTTGTATCCCATAGATACTTAGATATTGATAATCTATTCATGGAGCTCAGAAATTTTTCTGTGACTGAGGCAAAATCTGCATTTAAATGGTATATGCCTGAAAGTCACCAGGTTCAGCATCAAGTTGCTCTGTTGGTAGTTTGTTCCAGTGGTCAGTCAGGCTCACAGCTGTGTCTTACGTATTTGAATCCATACATTGCTCTTAAACCTTCCTTCACTAACTTTAAGAGCTTTTTCATGCCTTCTTTTTTTTTTTACCCTCTGTAAAACACTCATGTGATATGGCCAAGTCACCACCTAGTGTTCTTCTCTTGCTAAGTTTGAGCTACTTACATATTTGACCTTGCAACTATTTTAAGCACATTTTTCAACACCTCTGGCAGTTCTTCAAGGCACCTTTTTCAGTATTTCAACATCCCATAAAGAGTGTGGGGTCAAAAACTGTATGATGATCGCGCTGCTCTGCAGGGCTGAGGAGTGGCAAAGTGGCACAGTGTTGCAATATAATTAACTTTTAGAAGGCCTTGGAGAGTTTTAAAGAGTTATGCTTGATGTAATAGACTGGGACCAGGTGAGTTGTATTGGAGTAGTTCTGCATTATATTGATATGCTTTCTTCACTTCAGTGTGGCCCCCTCACATTGCGGGGTCACAATGCCACACCGGGACCCCGCTGTCCTCCCGCTGGAGGCATCTCCTGGGATCCCCTCTGAGGCCTCTCCGAGAGCCACCTGCGTGCAGGCAGGCTGGGGGTGGTGTCTCGGAGGTGTCACACAGGAGGTGACCCTCGGGAGCTATGGAGGGGATGGCAGTGAGACAACCATCTCCCTCAATCAGCTGGTGATGCTTTGCGTGATGCCAGCCGTGTTCTGGGGTGCCCGAGGCAAAGCATCGCCAGCCGGGCGAGGGAGGGGATTGTCCGGCTCTGCTCTGCACGGAGGCGGCCTCGCATTGAATAGTGTGCAGTTTTGGGCACCACGATATAAAAAGGGCATCAAGCTACTAGAGAGCATCCAAAGGAGCGTGGAGATGGTGAATGGTCTGGAGGGGAAGCCTCATGAGCAGCGTCTGAGGGCACTTGCTGTGTTCAGCCTGGGGAGATTGAGGGGAGACCTCATCGCAGTTGGAGCTCGTTAGCCCTGTAAGGCAATCCATCTACGTCCTGAGGACCTCGCTGCCACCGTCCAAGCTTGCTTGGCCCCGGCAGATGAACATGAGGATTAAAGGGTGGGCTCAGTTGCACACATACTGTGTCTCACCTAAAAAAATCCAGTGCGCAGGCTGGAAGGTGGAAAGACCTTCCCCGGTTCTTCGTTCGCGAAGACTGGCTATTACATTTACATTACATCGCAGTTAAAACTTGCTCGTGAGGGGAAGCAAAGGGGCAGGTACCGTCTCCTCTCTCTGTTGGCCACTGACAGGACCTGAGGGAATGGCGTGAAGGTGAGCCGGAGGACGTTTTGGTTAGATACTAGGAAAAAAGTTATTCTCTCAAAGGGTGGTTGAGCGCTGGAAAAGGCTCCCTAGGGCACTGGTCATGGCACCAAGCCTGACAGAGTTCAAGAACCATTTGGACAACGCTCCCATGCACATGGTGTGACTCTTGCGATGGCCCTGCGCAAGGCCAGGAGTTGGACTCGATGATTCTGACGAGCCTCTTCGGACATTCTGTGAGCTCCCTTTACATCCCCTCCGCCTCTCAAGGGCGGCTGAAGGGTACGCGGGGAGGGCGGAGCGGCGCGGGGCGCCCGCCCGGTGCAGGCACCGCCCGCCGGGTCACAGAGCGCGGCCGCTGCGGAGCGTCCAGCGGGGCGGCGCGGGGCGGGCGCCCCCAGCGGCCGGGCGGTGCTGCGCTGTGAGGGGCCGTGCGGGAGGGGAGGGGAGGGGAGGCGGGCCCGGGCCGTGCGGGAAGGCGGTGCCCGCCACAGCCCAGCGTTGCTGGGGCTGCACGGCCCCGGTGCCGCCTCAGCGGAGCCGGGCCGGGCCGCGGACAGGGTGGGTGAGCGAGGCAGCGGCTGCGGCCGCGGCGGGGCGGAGAGCGGCGGGCGGGCCGCCGGGGAGGCGGGGAATAGCGGTGCGGGCGGGCCCGTGCGGGGAGCGGCGGCGCGGGCGGGCGGGTGCGTTTGGGCGCTACCTGGGCCATTACCGCCGCCGCCGCCGCCCCGGGCCCGGGGGGTCCCCGCAGCGGCTCCTCTGCCCCGAGGGGCTGGGGCGGGCTCCGTGTTTTGCCGAGCTCCCGGCGTGTGGTGTGGCACCTGCCGCAGGAGCTGGGCCCGGGCCGGGCGCTGCAGGAGGCGGCGGGGGTTTGGGCGCGGGACACTGCAGGGCAATGGCCGGTGGGTCTCCTGCTCTTTTTGCTCTTCCAGGTCTGCCGGGATAGCAGGAAACATCCTTTGTGTCACAGGGGCCTCTCCAGATGGCCCAGGAGGCTTTAGCATCTTGGCGTGTCCTGTGAGGCGCGTTACCTCGTGTCTCCCTGCCATCAGTAAGTGGTGCCCAGCAGTGTGTGGGTTCCGAGCACAGCCAACACCCAGCTTTCATTTTCCTGCAGGTGGTGGCTGCTTGACGGGATTGGGGTTGGTTATGCTGGAGTGCAGAGGAGAGGCCAGGTGGATAGTGGAGAAGCTGAGTTGGAAATACCTCCAATAGTGCTTTCCCCACCATGAGGAAGGATCCAGTGTACTTAAACTTATCCTTGACAGACATTTCCTTAATTGGCTCTTACAGATTATGAAATTCATGGAGTGCCTTCCCCCCACTCCCCAAGGTAACCTGCTTCGATGCTTAGCTATCACTTATCGTCACAATTTTTCCTTAATAGCTGACCTAAATCTTTGCTAAAACTAAGCTGATTATTATCTTGCACTATCCAGAGTATACCTGGAGTGCCATGGATCCATGTGCTCCTGTCAGCAGGCTGATGGGTGTTCTCAAGTTTCCACTTACAATCTTCACTCATTCTCTTCCCACATCTATCTGGTCCCTGAGCTCTGTTAGGCATTTCCATCATCCTTGGACTCAGAAGTATGTGCAGTACTCCAGTGGAAATGCTGTTAGCAGTGTGGAAGAGGGGTAATTATCTGCCTTGTGTATGGCATCCCTCCTAAAAACATTCCAGAATGATTCTGTTTCTCACATTACTGATACATTTAATTTGTGATCCACTGTAAGCCAGATCCTTTTTTGCTATACATCTACTTAGGAGATTATTCCTGAAGAGGCATCCAAGTTGGTGGTTTTTTTTTTTCCTTTGCTAAGTATATTATTTTGCATTTGTTATTAGTCTAAGAAGAAGTTATCTTGATCAACATAACAACTTTCTTTGCAATTTTAGTCTTTGAAATTCGCTCTTGCAATCCTCTTCCTCCAAATTTAGGATCATCCACCAATAGTTAATTAAAATACCAAGTGGTGCCAGGCCCTGCATTTTGGGATAAGCCCTCCCAGTTTGAAAATTTGACTTTCTCAAACACTTCTTGTTTTTTATGTTTCCCACTAGAGCTGCAACTCATTCTGTGCCCTGGCTTTGCAATTGTGCCAAATCCTATGGAGAATCTTAAGTGAGGAAACCAAGATTCCTTTGAATTGGCTTTTATGCTCAGAGTGTGCTCAGCTGCGCTCTGTGAGCTCGCAGCACACAGAAATACATATAAAATCCCAAACTTTTCTAAAGTGTTGGTGCCTTGTCTATGGTTTTTTAAAAATTCTTTTCTCATTAATTTCCTCAGAAAAATCTGCTTTGATCCCAACTTTCTTCCACACTGCATTTGCTTTTTTAGAGAGCTTTCTGGAATAAACATGCCTCGTTCTCACATGCTTAAGACAGGATCAGATTTGTAGATAATACATTAATGCTTGGTTATACTTGTAAGGGATTACTTCATCTGATCACAAATGGTCCGTGAAGTTGAGAGCCAGAGGTGATGTGTTGAGAATTGTTAATACTGAAGTAAATCAGAAAATATTCTGGGAACAGCAACTTACTGATTAGAATGAAAGGACTGGTGTTGCGATGAAAATGCAGCAGAAATCTGGCGGTAAGGCTGTGCAAACAGCAAAGTTTCTTTCTCTTAAAATTGCCTTTCACTGTGGAAATATCATAAACTAAAAATTCTAGGGTTTGGTAACTAAGCATGGATGAACATTATATGTACATTGACTTCACTGGAAGGATGAGTCCAGCGTTGGCAGGATCAGAAGCTGAGTAATCATACAGGTTGTCCTCTGTCCTCTACAATAGTTTATTTTTATTTCTCGTCCTAATTTTTTCAGATGTCTCACTTTAAAAATCATGGAGCTGGGAAAGGCAAAGCTTCTGCGAACCGGCCTCAATGCCTTGTGCCAAGCAATCCACCCCGTGCACGGGCTCGCCTGGACAGACGGGAAGCAGGTGATCCTGACCGCGTTACACCTTCACAATGGGGAGCCCAAATTCGGTGACTCGAGCGTTTTTGGTCAGTTTGAGCATGTCCATGGGCTGTACTGGGGCCCGTGTGCCCCCGAGGCCCCAGCCCTGCTCACGGTGCAGCACAAGAAGCACATCACCATTTGGCAACTCTGCTTCAGCGGCGCCGACAGGAGCAACCTCCTGGTGTCTCAGATCTGCGACATCAGCGAGCCATACCCCGTGCTGCCCCAGGGCTGCGTGTGGCACCCCAGCAAGCAGGTCTTAGCCGTGCTGACCACCCGGGACGCCTCCGTCTTACCCTCCGTCCACCTCAACAACTCCAGAATTAGCGCGGAGATCAAAGGCAGCGGCCTCGTCCACTGTGCCTGTTGGACCAAGGAAGGAAATCGCCTGGTCGTGGGGGTGGGCAGTGCCCTTCACTCCTACATTTGGGATGATGATCAGAAAACACTGAATGCATGTTCTTTCTGCCCAATCTTTGATGTGGGAGGCTACATCTGTGCCGTGGAGGCGACGCAGAATTTCCAGGTTGCCGTTGCCACTGAGCTCCCTCTGGACAAGATCTGTGGCTTAAATGCTGGTGTTGCATTTGAAGTTCCGTCGAGCGTTGAAACCGAGTCCTTCCCCTCTCAGTCCAGCTTGTGCGGGGAGGAGGAGT